TGGAAGAGATTGTTAACAGTTTTAGCTTGCTTGGCTCCAAGTCAACACTCCTGGTACCAGCTGCCAGGAAATCAAGAGATGCACTGTATTGGGAAAGTCAGCCGTCAGAGACTTCTCCAGAGCAACAACATCTGGCTGGATGCTAAAATTCGCCTGATCCAGGCCACAGTCTTCACAATTGTGTGCTATGCGTCAGAGAGCTGGACAGTGACTAGGGATGATAGAGAATTGAGGCCTTTGAGCTGTGGTGCGGGAGAAGAGTGTTGAATATACGAGAACAAACAGGTTTGTCCTAAAGAGGGTGAAACCGGGCTGTTCCTTGGAGGCAAGGTTTCTGAATCTATCTCTGACATACTTTGGGCATGTTGTAAGGAGGGACCAGTCCTTGGAGAGGGACATCATGCTTGGGAGAGTGGAGGGACAGTGCAGGAGAGGAAGACCCGCAATGAGATGGATCGATTCGGTGATTGGGGCAACGGGAGTGGGTGTGTCAGAGACAGTGAGGTTGACACAGGATGGAGCAGGGTTTAGGGCTCTTGTTATATAGGGTCACTTTGAGTCTCAAGTGACTCAAGAACATATAACAAGAACACAACAGCCACATAGTGAAGTATCTTTTAAAATACATGAACCAAACAACAACAACAAACCCACTACTGTTGAGACAATCCTGACTCAGCAGTGACCCTCCTCTATGGATGGAGTCTCCACCGCTTTAAATCTCAACAGAAGTCTGCCCATCTTTCTCAAGGAGTTGCTGACAGACTTTGCTGACCTCACATAATGCACTGGCTATCAGAGCCCCTTAATATGTGAACAGTGATCCCCTATTCAAGGGAGTTCTGGTAGCCTAGTGGGTAAAGAGTTGCACTGCCAACCCAAAGGCAGGTGGTCTGAATACACCAGCTTCTCTGCAAGAGAAAGATAGGCAATCTTCTTCTATGGGATTTATGTTGTTGTTAGGTGCCATCGAGTCGTAGATGACTCATAGTGAGCCTATGAACAAAA